GCCTTACTGTTCTAATAATAAAGAAGTTTTTCTTGAGATCTAATCTAAATCTACTTCACTTAAATTTAAGTCATTGCTTCATGCCCCATCCTCTGTGGAAGGGGAATGCAATTAGTTCTTCTTCTTTATGGCAACCTTTCAGATATTTGAAAAACATGTACAATGTATGTTAAAAGTGCCTTATTGGGGCTTATTTGTTTTTAACCATTTCTAAACAATAGATTTGAATTCAGCAACAGATTTCAGATTTTTATTAAGCAAGATTTAAAAATTCTAATTTGTCCCTACAATAGATAAAACGACTTTAAGAACTTTCATTAAAATGTTTGTATTCTCTATCTTACCCTTAACTTTTAAATTAAGCATTGTTCAGATGTTCATTCTGTAGTGCCACAGAAAGCAGGTGTTCAGATGGTATACTCTACCTCTACATGTTCTAGTGGTACCACATATACCATATGAACAATAACATGGAATGCTGGAGGGGGTCTTTTGTTCCCACAACCGTTCCATAGTGTTCCGTTCTCCCTGCCCAATTCCAATAGGTGAATGAGGGAGAGTGGCTACTGTGGGCTCAGTGACAGACCACTACTCTAAACCCAGCTGTTGGTGAGTGTGGGACCTGCACTGGGCTTTCCCATGGGAAGCAGAGCTGAAGCCCACCTGGGATTAGAGGCTGCAGCTCTTCCTGATGTGATGACAGGTACCACTGCTGCCTGACAATTGCCAACAGCATCCCTGGTCCCCTTTCCCCGGCAGTGGGGAGAGGGCAGGCTTGCAAAACAGGCAATTCCCTATCTACCCCAGCTGAAGAACAAGCATGCAGGGACTTTGTAGTGCTCCACGTAATGGGCTCTGAATTTCTCCACACTCCTCATGGTGCTATTTTTTGTAGCATTTTAGGACTTAGACTACATTTGTCCCACCATATCAGCTGTTTTAATATAAGAACAAACAATTGGCCATTCATACTCTTTGCTGTGCTAAGAAAAATGGCTGATCAACCAGAAGAATAGCATATCCACAACAGAGAACTTGTTGTTTCAAATGTCGAATCGTTTGACTTTCTGGGACAAGTTTAAAGTGTGGTCAGTTCTGCGATCCAACTGCAACCTCCTTCAGCCCTCCATCTCAGTCCTAAAGTGCTCCCTGCAAGGGGGAGGCAGGGAGGAAGAGCACCTGGCTACCCCACAGGCTGTTCAGCAGGGAGGTCTCAGAGGCACCTTCCAGACAGCTTTATTCGTGTTGCCACTGGGTGGCAATAGGGACAGGACTGCAGTGGAAGCAGTGACTTGCAAGCAGCCTGAGACTGGAGGACACCTGCAACAGCCAGTAGTTTCCAGTCTGGATCAGCTGCCACCATGGCAGCAACAGCTGAGGCTGTTTCACTTGTAGACAGGCTCCCCTGAGAACAGAGGAGCTAAGGGGCCAGCCCCTTATTGGTCTCCTGGCTGGAAAGCATGCCTTTGTGGCAACACTTGTGCTCCAGCCAGGAGGCTGTGAATGACCCAAAGAACCTCATCTATCCATCCTTAGCACTCTATTTTTTTGTAAGGAATGAGCTTTGTAGCACTACAAAAATAACATGTTAAAGGGTGGAACAGATGTTGCCCTTCCTTGCCTTTATGCCACCATAAAAAAATTTTGGCAGCACAAAAGCCAAACAAATACATGTCCATACCCTTTTTTGCACCACAAGCTTCAAATTTGTGGCCATGACGAAGCTGAGGCTGCTTTATTGCAGTGGATGTCTGTTTGTTTTGTGGTGGGAGAGCGTGGGCAGATGGAGCTGCCTGCTCTCTCCAACCACCATGGACAGGTGCTCTGGAGACTTGAGGGACCTGATGCTGCATACCCTAGGAAATCTTGGGAAAGATCAGGCCCCTCAAGTCCCTGGAGCACCAGCGAGACACCCCAGGGAATCTCAGGGCGTACCTTGATGAGCAGGGAAAGCTTACGTTACCCCTTATTCTGCATCTGGCCCCTGGGTTGTCTCTCAAAGCAGGGAAAGCCAGTGGTTCCTTGCTTATGGAGATGCACCCTGGGAGATGCAAGAGCTGGGGAATTGCTAGTGCTCTATGCCTCCACACTGGGACCCATGTCAGGTCCTGCACTGGCCCATGCTTCATGCAATGGGTCAGGTCAGCGTGGGTCCTGGGGAATCCCCGATTCCCTGTGCCTCCATGCTGTGATCCCTGTTATCCATAACTCTGTGTGAAGCATGGGTTGGTCTGGGTCCTAGTGTGGAGGCATGGGATCACACAGGTCCAAGTGTTGAGGCATGGGGAGCCACGAATTTCCTTGCTCCCATGCTGCTCTGCACTGGGACCCATGCATCTGTGTGAGGTGCAAGTTTGCACATGGCCCAATGTGGGTCCCAGCATGAAAGCAGGGAGTGCTGGGAATTCCCCAGCTCACTGGCCTACCAGGTGTGTATCACCATGAGCAGGGAACCCTAGCCTTTTGCTGCTTAAAGAGACATGCCCCTGGGATCTCCCCAGCATGTCTCTTTAAGAAAGGAACCCTAGACTTCCCCTGCTTACAGAGGTGCCTGAGGCATCTTGGAGGGTACATCTCCATAAATGGCAAACCTTGGGCTTTCCAGGCTTAAAGGGACAACCCAAGTACCCAATGCAGGATAAGGGGTGATGTGTTCTCCTTGCTAAGGGATTCCTCACCTTCCTCACTGACCCATGTATGAAGCATGGCTTGGCACAGGACCAGGATGGGTCCCAGCTTGGAAGCGCAGGGCTTCAGAAATTCCCCAGCTCCTGTGCCTTCCCGCTTCTCCTTGCCGGAACCTGTACTCACCTATGCTTTACCCAGAAGGGTTTCAAGAGGCAACATATGTTTTACCCCGTAAAGCAGATCAGGTGTAGCAGGATGAGTCCTGCTACAGTTGATCTGCTTCAGTTTAGCAATGTCTGTTTCTACCCAAAGGCCTATGAATTGCGTGTAGCACTTGTAGTGCTACAGATCTGTTCATGGCGTAACAGTGATTTAATAGTACAGGGATTTATCTCATGTATAACGTGTCTCTTTCTAAAAAACTTGTTTTTCACCATATGATCAGTACACTACACTAACAATTTTGGCTGTGCACTTTTGGCCCTTTTCTGATTTTTTTTTCTTCCAGTGTTCACATTTCTATCAAGTATGGTTTAAGTTTAACACACAACCTTTACACACTGAATTAAAAAGAACAGTGGATTGAGGAATACTTTTGTGGAATGATTAAAAAAAAAAGATAATCCATGATGCCAATGCTAATTTTACAGGATAATATCAAGCTACCCATTAAGGCTAGCAAAAATATTCTGTAGTATTGGAACACTTCGTTGATTGACCTTGCGGTAGAATAAAGTCATGGTTATAGCAGTTTAGAAACATTAGACTTTAAAGTTACATTATTCTGTTTATTGTATCAACCTTTTCTACCCCATTATACAATACTAGATTATATATAGTAAGGGTGTGCAAAGCGAGCCATATTTGATTTGGATTTGGCCAGATTTGGGGGACAGTGATTGTTTGCTGATTCGGAACACTGACTCGATTCGATTTGGCCAAATCTGAAGATTCAATTTTGATTCGGTGAATCAGCAATTTGGCCATAGACACAGCTTTATATATTTTTTCTACATACCTCAAG